AAATAACAAATAAAATAAATAAAAATAAAATAAACAGCAACCAAAAAACAAAACAAAACAAAACAACAACAAACAAACAAACAAACAAACAAAAACAAAACAGCAACAACGTCGGATAGAGTTGAGGTTCGAACCGCCGAACCCGCAACCTCACGATTCCATGTTTAAAGGGCAGTTTTTGTTATAATATTAGTAGCGTAAGGAAAAAAAGGGGGTGGGAGAGTGGGGTGCTTTTTAGACCAAAATGTGGGAACTTTAAGTTTGGTTTGTCTTTGTTTTTTTCGGAGGCACGAAATGTAACAATCTTCATAAAACGATTATACTATAATATGGTATTATCCAATAAGATTCAGAGGTTGCACCCAGGCAACAGAGTGTGTGTCAGCTAAATCAATGTTGATTATTGAAACAGTTCTTTTCTGTCTTGCTATTCACGGAAAAGGAGGAGAGAGAATTAAATATCTGACAAGGTGAATGATGACATGAATGGGCGTGGATAAGATAAACACTCAATGCAATGTGGGCCATCCTTTTTTCTTTTCTTCTCTTTCCTTTACCCAACGATACATTTTTTTCCAAGAGCAGTAAAGGAAGTGTACATAACACTGAAAACCAGAACAAAAGATTTCTGCTGTTAAGAATGTTCTTTGCAACTTAAGCATTTTAGATATAATTTATTGCGTGTGTTAGTGTAGCCCCCGCTTTTTAAAATTTCTCTTCACGTCCTTTGAATAATATGGCTGCCTGTACTGGTTCTAATCCCCCCCCCCCTTTTTTTTGTGGAAAAACCAACAAAATAACAAAAATCCACAACCCGCCCCCCAAACAAAAAACAAAGAAACAAACAAAGACAAAAAGACATATAAGAACACGTGCTTCTTCTTTCCTATCAAACATCTATCGTCCTTATCTCCCCTTCTTCTTTTTTATGTTTGTTACTCTCTTACCACACCTCTGATCTTCTAGCGCTCATATGACCTTATGCATTTGCGAGCGCCGTAAAACCTCTACTAAAACTACAATCTAAAAGAACACGTGAGTCTGAAAAAGTTTTGAAACCAAAGAACTGGACAGACGAACACATGTCATGGTAGGGAAAAGAGATGTTAATGAGTTTTTCATTTTCTTTTTCCCTTTGGATTTATCAACAGAGACTACTACTGTGTCTCTTGGAAATAGCTTTTTGTTGATCCTGTGAAAGAGCGTTGGTTGTACTAAAAGATTCTTCACTCTTCTTTTTGTTATAGTAAAATCAAATGTGCTTAGTCCGTGACGACATCTGTATTATAGCACGCTTTGATGCAACATTGTATTTGTAAGAAGTGACGTTACTTGTGCACAAACTAATGTTCCAGTAAGGAAAGAAAAGTGTTCTTGCAGAACTTCTATTTGAGAACCAAAACAAAATATTTTGATTAGCGCGAATGGCGACATTTAGATCTAGAAAAACATTAGTCAGTTTTCCAGGACGTTTCTTTTATACAATGCACCCTCTTGTAGTGTACTATAATTAAGTATCTTAGCCTCGCGATACCAGCATCAAACAGTCAAAAGCTACTAAAGAGGCATCTTCCCAGTGCTTACCGTTTTGATGACACTGAGTTTGTTCAGAGGAATAGGGCTCCTGGCGGCCATGTTGGCGATGTAGAACCAGTAGCCTGGGAGAGCGAGCCACAAGAGGCCACAGGGGCCCCACACTAAGGCTGTGGTCATGAAACATTCCGTGAACTGAGGGTATGACCCGTCTAATAGGAGACTCTCGTTCTGGGGACAGACACCAGGCAATAAAACTGTTGATGATGCAATCTATAAGCAGGGACAAGGAGGTTTTGTTGCGGTTGTTATCGTTGTTGTTGTTGTGGTGGTTGTTGTTGTTGTTGTTGTTGTTGTCATAAACCTTCCGCGAGTGAGGATATGCCCGCCCAGCAGAAGACTCGTTGTGGGGAAAAGGTGGTTTGAGACATGTTTTTGCTTTAATACGAGTTTTTCGGTACTTGCGTCACAGTCAGGTCGTACAAGTGCCGAAGATTAAAGGAGTTACAAGAGAGTAACAAAAAACAAAAAAGGAGGAGAGATATAGAAGACTGATTTTTGGTAAGAATGAAGGTGTAGTTACACCAGAGCACCCGCCAACCACCTATGGTTTGAGACAACAAAAGTGTTAACGAAGGAATCAACAGGGAGACTTTATTAGTGTTTATTGGGTGTTTCTAGGCCACACTTCTGTTGATCGATCTATTTATCTATCTATCTATCTATCTATCTATCTATCTATCTATCTATCTATCTATCTATCTACAGTGAAGTCCGTTTAAACTGAACATTTTAATCTCAATCTATTAGAGAAAGGTCTCTTAACCAAAAACCCCGTTTAACGGAAAAAAATCTGGTGGTCCCGCTGAATTCGGTTCAAGAGGACTTCATTAAATCAATCTATAAACAACTGCAACTTACCCAGAATGGAGATCCCCCACAGAATTCCTCAAAGTCTGTCACCATGGCGACGTCGTTGCTCGCTCAAACTTTAGTGAGAATCCTTATTTTTTCCGTTGGTAGCCACACATCTGATGGATCTGAGAAGACATGAGATCGTTGAACCCGTTATGCACACATTATATTAATAATTTGCTCCTTTCCACGTGTCATGAATAACATTTTATTGACCAAATGAAAACAGCCACAGGGCTTGTCCACAAAGTTGCAGTTATAAACCGCAACATTCACGAAGATTTAGCTAGTTGTTGTTGTTGTTGTTGTTGCTGCTGTTGCTACTTTTGTTTTTGTTTTTGCTGTTGTTTAATTGATTTAAGACATTTTCTTCAATCTGTTTGATAGGAAATCAAAATAATTGAAACATTAAAAACATTAGCGCCTGGTAGCCAAGACTGTACTTGGAGATAAGCCTATTTTACTTTACTTGACTAAAATGTCTGTTTGAAGTATGGATTTTAGCATAGATTTGGCTGCTTCATCCCGGTTCATTTCGTGTGACATCACCTTGAATTATTTTAATCAGATTCCCCTTCGTAAATTCTAGAGAAATCGCTTGGTATGCACAACACGCCAGCCACGAAAAACTAACTGATCACATTGGATCCTAAACATGAAGGGAAAAGCAAAACCCTTGAATGCCGTAATCAACACCAAAAAAAATAAAAATAAATGAATTAAAAGAAAAAACAACAACTCACACTGAGATTCGAAAAGTTGTTCTATCCGCAAGCAGAACTTATAGACAAAACACTTAGTAGTATTGATATGAGAAGCGAGGTTATTGTTCTGAGTATTAAAATCTAAAAGATATAAGACCTAACAGTAAAATCGAAATAGTGAGAAATAACTAAAGGCACAGTAACAACCCCAGCAAGATAACAGAAGCACCTGCTTTTTACCGTCAACAGAGACTATTCACATTTTCCTTAGAAAAAGTGACCATAATCAAAATATGGGAAACCGCATGTTAAAATCTAAGGGAAACGGCTCTTAAGAGCACCATGGGTGAAAACTGCCGGATGCCAACAGGACACATTTTGCGAAGTGAGATACGAAATTAAAAATTTATAGATACAGCGGCACTCACAGTGGTGAGGTTGTATAATGGAAATCTAGCCGTGTGGAATTCTTTTTTGCTTGTTTGTGCGTGTGTGTGTGTTTGCTTGTTTGTATGTTTAGTACGGTTCCTTCGAATACTAGGCCCTAGCCATTAATTAACAGAAAGCCACTTCTTTCCCATGGTGCTTGATGTATGAACTAGTTGTGACAAAGGCGGGAACTGTGCTTAGTGACCAGAACCAAAGATCGACAAGAGAATTTCAATTATCAGTATCGACCAGAAGAAAACGACTTATTTCCAAGAAAGCATGAACAGATAGGCGTAGAAATTCATTCAAGCCAAATGCAGCTAGGTTACTGAACACACATTGCTACAAATGAAACACAACGTGCGTGTGCACCCGTGTGTATGTGTATGTGTGTGGGGGGTGGTGGTAGTGTATATAAATAAATATATATATATATATATATATATATATATATATATATATATATATATATATATGTGTGTGTGTGTGTGTGTGTGTGTGTGTGTGTGTGTGTGTGTGTGTGTGTGTGTGTGTGTGTGTGTGAGAGAGAGAGAGAGAAAGAATGAGAGAGAAAGAGCGACATATATATATATATGGGAAAGAGTATCGTGGAAGGAAAAGAAATCAAATGAGGTAGTGCTTGATTAAGCCCACGTGGGACGCTTAATGTTAAAAACAATCAGGAAACGACAAATGCAGTTTTTGGGACACCTGAATAGACATCTTGAACATCTAGCTCTCACTGGCAAAATTGAGGGCAAGCGAGGAAGGGGTAGGCCCAGAACAACATACTTAGGGAACCTAAACAAATGGGTAACAGGGAGAGATCAGGGAAACGTAGCTTTTCTGAGAGCATCCGAGCAAAGGAATGAATAGAAAATCATGATCGCCGATGTCTGTCGCAGATCTGGCACTGGATGATGATGATGATGATGATTGATATATATATATATATATATTAGAGAGAGAGAGAGAGAGAGAGAGAGAGAGAGAGAGAGAGAGAGAGAGAGAGAGAGAGAGAGAGAGAGAGAGAGAGTAGAGGTGTTCCAGCACGCAGTACGTGTATTTACTATTTATGTTCTTCTTTGTTATTATGTTTACGTAGGAATGACTGCACCTGACCTTCGTTACACCGCTGCTATTGTAAACAGATTTCTCCTGAAGACAAGAATAGCTAAAGATTGCCATTGTCATTTTCAATTTACAATAATTGGTAGATTTTAAAGAAGATGCAGAGTTGTGCGTTTCACTCAAGTTTGACTGAACTATTAACAACGTAATATTTTTCGAACAAGAGAGTTGATTTTCTTCCCATTAACTAACATGACCCCCCCCCTCCACACCTCTGATTGAATATCAGTTGTTCAAAGTTTTGCGGATATTGGTTGAAAGATAACAGAGTTCTTCTTCTTCTTCTTCTTCTTCTTCTTCTTCTTCTTCTTCTTCTTCTTCTTCTTCTTCTTCTTCTTCTTCTTCTTCTTCTTCTTCTTCTTCTTCTTTTTCTTCTTCTTTTTCTTCTCCTTCTCCTTCTTCTTCTTCTTCTTCTTCTTCTTCTTCTTCTTCTTCTTCTTCTTCTTCTTCTTCTTCTTCTTCTTCTTCTTCTTCTTCTTCTTCTTCTTCTTCTTCTTCTTCTTCTTCTTCTCTTTATAGTTATTATCATTATCATAATATAATAATAATAATAATAATAATAATAATAATAATAATAATAATAATAATAATAATAATAATAATAATAATAATAGTAGTAGTAATAATAATAATAATAATAATAATAATAATAATAATAATAATAATAATAATAATAATAATAATAAAAATAATAATGATTTTTACAATTATTGTTTAATTTGAACATGAATAAGTAGTAGTACATGTATTATCATTGATATTATAATTGACTTCTCTATCTTCCAACTGCTCAAAGCAGGAACTTAACCAACTATAATCTTAAATCCGTTTGTATTTGAGTTGGGTTTTTTTTTTTGGTAACAAGAAATAAAATATTTTCAAAAACGACACAATGTATAATGCAAAGGTTTTGGCTTTAACTTAAATTCTAAAAAGCAACAAAAATAAACAATTATCTTCACGACAACTGCAATTTTGAAATACAACATATATCCACAACCTGGGAAACTCCAAATCTTTTAGCAGCAATCTCTTTCCAAGTGAAATAGCACAAGAAAGGTATACACCTAAACAAACTGTAATGTCTACTACAAAAAAACCAAAACCAAAACAAATTTTATTATCTACATAAGAAAAATAAAGCAACTTTCATACTACTATATCACATGTTAGGAAAGAACAGTAAGTTGTGAGTAACCGAAGCATGTAAGAGGACACAGGAACACGTACAGCCGAAAGAATACAGCAACCACCTAGCACTTTAAAACCAAGCCAAGACTAAACCATGTTATGAAACACGTAGGCTGTTTTTATACATTTAACCCTATCCGTACGTCGTGTTTTACTATCGTATCCATACGACGTGGGGAACTCTGTGCCACAACTTTCAAAGAGGAAATTTACTCTATAATCCGATCCGTACGCTTTGCATAGCAGTCTGTCAAAATGATTTTTTGAGAAATACTGACAGTTTCAAAGAGATCTTCGTGCTAGAAGTATTCTAAACTGTGAAAAGTACAACCCCGGGGGTACAAAATGACCCTAGGGCGTACGGATAGGGTTAACTGGCAGACTTCATTTTACCCCGAGTTTTCCTAGCCTGTGTGCCCTCATTCACCTCTCCAGTTCAAGTATCACGGAGTAAAAGCTCCTACTTCCGCTGAAGTGATGCACTGAAATTCTCAAGTATTGAAAGCAAACGAAAATACGAAAGGATTCCACAAGGGTCCCTCTTCCCGTTCAAGACCTCAAGCGCCAGTGTCCACAGATAACATGTCCTCCTCGACTGCTTTTAAAAAAAGGTTAAAAGTAATAGTTTATGCTTGATTTAATTTTGAGGACGCTGAATCCGGATTATAAGGCTTTATCTTTTTTTGCTAGTATTAGTAGTACGCGCATTCTGTTGATGTAACCAAAATATTGTTTGGTCAAGAAACAGTGGAACCAAGTTTGCATTGTTCAATTTTAAAAATTGAAAGTGGTTGTCAAAGCAAAACTACAGAGTATAATGTAACAATTAGGAATACTATTAGCTCATTTTGAGACACCATTGATAAATTGAAAGTACCAGTTACGCCTTTACAAGGATGTGGGTTCTTTTGTGTTACTTAGAAGAGATGGAAACACACAATTTGCTAACGAAGCACGTAACAGGCAATTAGCAGAAAAGATGGCGTTGGAGAAAATAAAATTCGTAATATAAATCTCACATATCTCTCTAGGGCACTTTTAATTCTTTAAAACGCTCAACTACCACCTTAAGGCATGTCATTGAACAGGAAGCTTACAATGTTTACAAAACTTATGCATGATTTCTAATACTTTCTAAACAGTCAGATAAAACGTACGATGAGAGACCAAGAGTTCCTTCACACACTCATAAAAAGGGCATGCCAGGCTTTGAGTTGACTGCATTTTCTCGTCTCACCTCAAGTTTCAGCTAATTCCGCCTGGATGTATTTTTCAAACAATGACAACAACACACCCCTGAGAAGCATAATAGGGGAAAAGAGACTCCGGGGAAAACTAACAGAGTTGACTATTGACAAAAGTAGCAGAGAGTAAAAGTGCGTCTATTCATGGCTTTGTGCGAACGCTGTATGCTGAACGTGCAGTTTTCTTATTTTCGTTCAAACGCATTTTTTGGGTTTGCTTTCATTTTAGCTCCGACAGCCTCTAGTTTATTGTACTTAGAGTAGAACGAACAATTCTTTAAAAAAACGAGGTTGATGACATTGAGATAGCGCAACTTGGCTCTAACATGGCAGTTTCTCTGACTTTGACAACTTAACGGACTTCAATTCTTACGAACACGTACAATATTTGGGGTTATTTCATTTTCACTGACCTCTCTAAATCGC